GGCCAGCTGCAAGTGCCGGGGGATGATGCGGGTTTTCTTGTTGTCCCGGGCGGCGTTGCCAGCCAGCTCCAAGATCTCCGCCGTGAGGTACTCCAGCACCGCAGCCATGTAAACGGGAGCGCCGGCTCCCACTCGCTCCGCGTAGTTCCCCTTGCGCAGCAGCCGGTGCACACGGCCCACAGGGAACTGCAGCCCAGCACGAGAAGAGCGAGACTTGGCCTTAGCCCGAGCTTTACCTCCCTGCTTTCCGCGGCCGGACATTATGAAACGCTTTAGAGAAGAAACGAACACTGCTCACACAAAATAGAAGTGAGAGGGGACAAAGCGCGTTCTTTGCCTTTTATGCCCTCGTAGCGACCAGGCCAGAAACTGGTGATTGGCCAAGCGAAAAAGCTCCTGAGAGAACCAATGGGAAGCCGACCTCTCAACCTGACCAATCGGAATGTAGACTCTGTTGTGGTATCCAATAGGAACGCGAGACTTGGAGCGGCACTTTATTTGCCTACAAGTTTGTAAGAGAGAAAGGTAACTTATTATTTAGGATCCAATAGGAAGGTAGTATATAGGCTACCCTCATTTGCATAGGGGCGCTATAAATAAAGGCTCGCCTACACTGGCGGCTTATCATTCAGCTTGTCCTATCGGTGTTTTATCAAGTGATCTGCTTTGAAGTCAGTATGCCTGATCCAGCCAAGTCCGCGCCTGCTCCCAAGAAGGGCTCCAAGAAAGCGGTGACCAAGACCCAGAAGAAGGGGGATAAAAAGCGCCGCAAGACCCGCAAGGAGAGTTACTCCATTTATGTCTACAAGGTGCTGAAGCAGGTTCACCCCGACACCGGCATCTCTTCGAAGGCCATGGGCATCATGAACTCCTTCGTCAATGACATCTTCGAGCGCATCGCTGGGGAGGCGTCTCGCCTGGCGCATTACAACAAGCGCTCCACCATCACCTCCCGGGAGATCCAGACCGCCGTGCGCCTGCTGCTGCCCGGGGAGCTGGCCAAACACGCCGTGTCCGAGGGCACCAAGGCGGTGACTAAGTACACCAGCTCCAAGTAACTGGTCTTTCTCTAAAAAACAACACAACGGCTCTTTTAAGAGCCACCTACTTAATCTATAAGAGAGCCTTGGTCACTTTCACAAACACGGTGTTAAACATCTAACTTGCAGACGTACCTAGTGAGTCTGTAACTTCTGTAGTAGTCTTTCCCCGGTGTTAGGTTCTGCTAATTTGTAACATCCTGGCAAATCACAAACCTAACTGATCTCAGGGCATGAGAGATGGAATTTACATGCACAGTAAGTAAGTGAATTTACTCTTCACTTGAGTAAAGGGGCCTGGTAATGAGTTAATTGGAGAAATAAATCAGCATTTTTAAAGGATTATGCTGTTTTTCAGCAGTTTTTAATTATATTTTCCCCCTGTATGACTATTAATCAGCTTCAGCAATATGTTCCATTTTTATATTTGGTTGTGACAGTCCAAGAACATTTTCTCAACCTTTGAGAACTAGAAAGCTTGTCTCACCAACAGAAATTGATTTGATAAAAATATTTTTTTTTCTGGGGTCTGGACCTTCTCTAGAGAGGTGAGTCAGGTAATAAAATATGAGTCTTATCAAATATATTACCTTGTCTCTCTTCAAGCAATGGTCTATTCAAGGGCATTTCGATAACATAAGCTCTGGTCAAGTGTAGTATCTGTTCCTTTTTCCATTTTTATCAATGTTAAGACATATAAAGACATTCAGCAACATTCTGGATGGCATCAATTTCTTCCCAAAATATCAATTCAGGGGTTTAACTCAATTTTCCAGATTTTCAAATAAAAAAATATATATTTAAAATAAAAATTCTACACGGAGGGACAGACTACTGGTCTCTGGGGGGGGGGGAATAATAGAGGGTATTGCAACTCATAGACCTATAAGAAATGACACTAAAATTGTCTCAGAGCAGAGAAGGCCTGGAGACCTGTGATGAAGGAATGAATGCTAATGAAAACACTT